ACACACACACACACACGGACATGTATCTCACAACACACAGATACACACTAAGCACATACAATCACGCTCACGTAACACGCACATGCCTGTAAGCACACACAGCCTGCACACACACATACAAATGCATTACAAATACATTCTTCTTTCTCACACACATACATATATTTTTTCTTTCACACACATTGATGGCAATTAATCAACTACGGCCACCATGCAGCACATAGTTTCTCATACACACACAAACACACGCACAGACCAACTGACAAGTACACATATCTCCTCAGAGAGTATCTGATGAAAGTAAATGTTCAGCTTCATTAGTAGATTGGCTGCAGTCCTTAATCCTATGTGTGTGTCTGTGTGTGTGTTTATGTATCTACTGTACATGTATATGTGTATTTGCAATGAGAACAAAGAGTTGGCTATATTTAACATTCAAAGTTTCACACCTGCTCTCCAGTGACCGTGAATGGGAGCATTTTTGTTTAACTACAAAGTTATGAATCAGTGTCAAATGTACTTGTCATATACACATACCAGGGATCTGACCTTGTGATTCATGAATCATTGATGAACGTCATAATAAGAATTCACCCAATACCTGTTTCATTTCATTTCCCTTGGCACGATGCCTGTAAACAACGCTCATCAGTCAAACAAGATATGAACAAATAGAAAGTATTATTTATATATAAAGTGAGGAGCATTTAAGAGTAAATCTGAATAAAATCTATAAATATTTGGCATTTGTGCTTAATGTAAAGACATTCAATACAAATTTACAAATGTATGGTTGCTGTAATTCTTTAAATTTTATTTTTATTTTTTATTTTTTATTGTCCCTAAATTATTTATTACATTTAGCTTTTTGAATTTTATTGCATCCTGCAATCAGAAACCAAAACAACATTCTGCAGAATAATTGCATGGCTATCCCACAGTATCCATGCTGTGAAAATATCCATCAAATCTTCATCCATTGAGGCATGTTAAGAGAATATCCTTGGTTTCTGAGATTTTTTGTAACCCAGGTGACAGGAAAACTCTAAACTTTCTTTGCTTTCTTGGCTTCATTGCTTTGCTGGCATGATGGAAGTGCTGAGTGAGCATTCAGTGTATTTTTAAGCACAAGGCTAACCCCTCACTCTCCTCTCTTCTGTCTCCTCAGATGTCAGCCATTGAGAACATGGCAGAGAAGCTGGAGACGTTTGGCTCCCTGAAGCCAGAGTCTGGTGACCTGCTGCGCTCCGTCCCCTCCATGTTTGACTTCAGAGCCCCGCCCTCTGCACTTCCAGAGACGCTGCTGCGCAAGGGCAAGGAGCGCTACACATGCAGGTAACTACGGCAACTGGTTTGGCATGTATTATTTTAATTTTTAACTCTCACGTTGGTCATAAATTAACATTCCTCTATGTCATAGTTGTGATATTGACACTGTAGTCTTTTTTGTTACGCTAAATACTTTCATGTGTGGTGGGTGTTTCTGTGGGTATGTTTACTTTTTCTGTGGTCATGTGTTACTGAGGACAAAGTTACAGTGAGAGTTCCTGTTCCAGTATTAACATTATAATAATACAGGTTTTTAGATGACTAAAGTAATGTAGGTAAACGATACTTACATTTTTTTTATGTTATTATTTCTTTATAGATATTGTGGGAAAATATTTCCACGCTCTGCCAACCTGACCCGCCACCTCAGGACTCATACAGGAGAACAACCATACAGGTAGGACTATTTCTACAAATCTAAGGCAGACACGTTCATACACATGCACTGTGCACTCTTGGAGCTGTCTATGTGTGTATCTATGTCGAAGAAGTGTGTGAGTGTTTAGTTTTACAAGAGACAGTCCAACAGCAACATGTCAGCTGAATATCATCCTCCTCTCTCGCCTTCTGCCAACATCCATCTGTCCTCCTCACTTCCAAGAACACACACCGTAAAAGCTAGAAACAGCAAATTACGCTCTAGTCAGGAATTGGATTTGCACAATAGTGCATTAACTCCCGAGTGAAGGACTGCTTTTCTTTCCCCACAACTATAAGTGAAAGCAACAAACACACTTTCACACAGTGTATTATCAAGCAGACAGAGAGATACAGCTCATTTGTTAACAGGGCATGGATGTTTTCCCAGGGAATTCTTGTCCACAGTTAGGACAGAGTTTATGTGTGTTTTCTTATGCCGTAAAAAGCCTGGAATAATTATCCTACTGCTAAATAATTTGCTTGATGAAAAATGGTGTCCGTCGCCAGGGTGACAGGAAGGGGGGGGGGGTGAAACTGGGCTGGTAAAAGAGCAGAGCAGAGAGGAAGGCAGGAAGTTTGGTGAAAAATTGGGGTGATGAGGAGCGCGGGCAGATGTCCAGGCCCGGCAGCTGTGGTAATTTCTCTTCTGTGTATGGGGCCAAACTCATAGTGATCTGCAAGCCTACTGGCTACTTACACTAC